GTCGTCTTGCTGTCGCCTTGCTGTCGCCTTCTTTCCAACGCTGTCCAGCAAGGCCGATGCCTGCCCTCCCTCTTTCCCCCTGTGAAATGGGAGTAATTCCAGAATCACCCTTGGAGAATTTCCAGTCTCCGTTGTGTTCTGCCTCCGCCCCAGCTAGAGCTAATCTGAGGCCTGGAATCTTGCAAGGGTCAGGCAGGGGTGCTCAGATTTATTATTCTTTTTTTTAATATTTATTTTTTAGTTTTAGGTGGATACAATATCTTTATTTTATTTTTTTGTGGTGCTGAGGATCAAATCCAGTGCCTCACATGTGCTAGGTGACTCTCTACCACTTGAGCCACAGCCCCAGCCCTTCAGATTTATTATTATTAATATTAATATCATCATGATTATTATCATTTGAGATGGGGTCTGGCTATGTCGCCCCTGCTGATCTCAAGTTCCTAAGCTCAATCCATGCTCCTCAAGTAGCTGTGACTACAGGTACTGGCCGTCCAGCCAGGCTCCCTCCTTTTTAATTAATTTTTTTTTTTTTTTTGGTACTGGGGATTGAACCCAGGGTGCTTCACCTGAGCTACATCCCCAGCTTTTAATTTTCTATTTTGAGACAAGGTCTCACTAAGTTGGCTTAGGGCCTTGCTAAATTGTGAGGCTGGCCTCAAACATTTGATCCTCCAGCCCCCCAGTCACTGGGGTTACAGTTGTCCCCCACAGCACTTTAAGTTTTTTCTTTTTTCAACTTTGCAGGCAGAGTCTGAGGTCTAACATAACCTCTTCCTTCTAATCGCACTTCCTTACAAGACAGCCAACCACTCGCTACCTGCCCTGTGCTGTGACTCCTATTAACAGGGGTGTGTGGTGACTACACCCACTTGCCTTGTAAGTGGGAAAATTGAGGCTCGGAGAGGGGAAACAGTGTGTCTGAAGGAGTAAGGAGCTAGCCCGATTCCTAGCTCCCTTCCCCTGACCTCTTGGAAGGCAGGAGAAGACTGACTTGGTATTACAATCTGACTCTCCTTCCATGACTCTTCATTGTCCTCAAAGAACACCATAAGCCTTTGTGTATATGTATATTCATATATATTATGTATATGTATATATTACATATATATATATATATATATATTTGCATATTCTACCGCTGAACTACATCCCCAGCCTTAAAAACTCTTCTTTAGTGTGCTCTGCCCTGCTCACGTGATCTTGATTTCATTTCCCCCTACTCCTCCTTCCCCTGCTTCCTGGGCTCCAGCCACTCTGCCTCAGGGCCTTTGCACTTGCTGTTCCTTTTGCCTGGAAGCCACTTCCCTTTTCTCTGGATGGCCAGCCCTTTCTCGTCACTCAGGTCTTTGCCCAGCTCTGTCACCAAGGCATCATTGGTTTGCTCATTGTTTTGTTTTTGCCAAATCTTTACTAACATCCCTTATTAATTATCTTGTTTGCTCACGAATATTCCTGTCCCCCACACTGAAGGCAGAGGGTTTTGTTAGTTCAGGGCCGTGTGCCCAGCTCCCCGCCCAAGCTGGGCACACAGTAACGTTGGCGCATGTGATGGGTCACGCCTCTGTCCACACCCTTGTGTTCCAGAGCCTGGAGATGCCCAAACGTCGGTCTTCCCCACAGAAGCCACTCTGCCCCGAGGAGGCTCTGTGCTGGTGAACTGTAGTTCAACTTGTGAAGAGGAGGCCTTCTTGGGCCTGGAGACTCCGCTGACCAAGGAGGAGCGGGACACAGGACACAACTGGATGGTGTTCGAACTGAGTGACGTGGAGGAAGACAGCAAGCCGATGTGCTTCTCCATCTGTGGCTCAAAGCAGACAACAGCTCGCATTTCCATCACCGTGTACAGTGAGTGGCGGCCAGGGGACAGGATTAGGGAGATGGGGTGGGAGAGGTGGGGGTGGAACCTCAGAGCAGCTCACGGAAGGGCAGGGAGAAAGTTCCACTGTCATCTGGAAGCCCTTTGAATTTCTTTGGTTACATTTCGAGTATCAACAGGAATTGGGACCATTTGAAAACGCCATCTCTCTATGTCTTAATCTCTCTGTGTGTGGTGCTAGGGATGGACCCCGGGCCTGGCGCATGCTGAGCACATGCTCTACCACGGAGCTTCACCCAGGGGTTTTATACTCTTTAAACAGAGCAGGAGGCTCTGGATCTGATGCTTTAGAAAAGGATGCATGGGCTGGGGGTGCAGCCCAGCAGCCATAGAGCACTTGCCCAGCATGTGTGAGGCCCTGGGCTCCATCCCCAGAATTGCAAAATAATATTTTTTCTTAACCTTAAAAACAAATGCAAATTAAAACTAGACCTCAGATGACATTGTTCACACATTGATTAAAAGAATTGACAACAGCTGTGCTGGCCAGACTGCAGGGAGTCTGAGTACAACCCTGTGGCAAGTTATTAGGTACTGAGTCTCAAAATGATATTTGCTTGCTGGGCACGGTGTCATCCCAGTAGCTCAGGAGGCTGAGGCAGGAGGATTGAGAGTTCAAAGCCAGCCTCAGCAATGGTGAGGTGCTAAGCAACTCAGTGAGACTCTATCTCTAAATAAAATACAAAATACGGCTGGGGATGGGGCTCAGTGGTTGAGTGCCCCCTCAACTAAGGGTCTCACTGAGTTGCTTAGCACCTTGCTTTTGCTGAGGCTGACTTTGAACTCACGATCCTCCTGCCTCAGCCTCCCAAGTCACTGGAATTACAGGCGTGTGCCACCATACCCAGCTCAAAATATAAATAATTTTTTAAAAAGGATTTGCATATTAGCTCTGTGGTAGAGCACCCCTGGCTTCAATCTCTGGTAGTGTCAAAAAAATTGATATATGCTTGTGTTCTGCACTTTACAAATCCCAGTCCTGGGCATTGGTCCTACATGGGCCCCTCCCATCAAGGCATTGGTGGAGCCTTAAAGTTTTTATTTTTTTTCTTCCTGTGGTGCTGGGGATCAAATCCAGGATATGACACATGCTAGATAAGCTCTCTACCACTTAGCTGCTTGAGGACACAAGTTCACAAATGATTGCATTCTAGAGGGCCAGGGAGAGAAAAGTAGGTTTGCCGTATCAGAGAATAGTATGTAACTGTGTAAAAGAATGAGGAAGCTCCTCTGTGCCAGAAGGGAAGTGCTCCAAGATGTACTGTAAAGTTGAAAAGAAAGTACTGCTGGGCATGAGTGGCATGCCATCTTCTGTGGCAGAGAGCCAAAGGGGGCAGATGGGGAGGTGGTATTTACACACAAAGGAGCCCTAAAAGGAAACACAAGGAATAATAATGTGGGCACAGTAATCTCAGCAATTTAGGAGTCTGAGGCAGGAGGATCACAAGTTCGAGGCCAGCTCGGGCAACTTAGTGAGACCCCCATCTCAAAAAAAAAAAAAAATAGAGAAATGACAAGGACAATACTAATTGGCTGTGAATAGAAAAACTGCTGAGAGGCCCCAGGAAAGGGGGAGGCAGAGGATTTTCTTGTAATGTCCTTTTTGCCTTGAGGATTCATCTGTGAGAATGAGTTTCCAAGGCAAAGGGGAAAAAAGCACAAATACAATTCAAACCAGAACGAAACGAAAAGGAGAAACAACAAAGAGAACTGGCCAAGTGACTTGGAATGAGACCGCCTGGGTCCCAGGCCCAGCGTGGCTCCAGGGACTGGGTGAGGGTGGGGGACATGGGTTCTAGGTTTACTTTTCCATCACGTGAGACCTCCTGCCTTGGGGACAGTAGGGTGAAGCTTCATGGCCCCTCACAAAGAAAGCCTTCGGGCGCTCATCGACTCCACTTCTGGTTTGGAGGGTGTCTGAGCAGATGCTGGCCGCCAGGTGAGGAAAGTCCCCAAACATTCCTGGTGGCCTCGGAAAACCCCTGGGAAATCTCGTTAAGGGCTTCTCTGAGTCTCCGCCTGGCAGTTGGGGACCCAGCACTACAGGTTGGGTCCTGGCTGCCCCGCATTTCTCCTTGAATCTCCCTTTGCCTTGGTTTCCACCTCTGGGAAATGGGCCGGTGGCTGGCCGGAGGTTGTTTCCAGGGCATATGCGGCGGGCAGTGCCTAGGAGAGACGGGCAGGGCTCTGCCCCACTCTTGGTGCCAACATGAGGACGCATCCTCTGGGTGGCTAAGCCATGTCAAAAAAGCTAGAAGTATAGTTCCTAGAGAACGGGACCACTAGGGCTGTGGATGTGTAGGGTTGGTAGAAACGGGCGCCCTGGGGCTGGGGTAGCGTGTGCCTTTGGGATGGGCAAGCCCCCGAGGTCAATCCTCAGCACAGAGGGAACAGCCCGTCAACAAGGGGACATCCTGGGGCCGGGTCAGGAAGAGCTGGACACTGTTGGCGTGGAAAGGAGGAGCCGTGCGACCTTCTCTTCCTTGGGGTGCTGGGAGCCATGAGGATTTGTGGGCAGGTCAGGAATCCAGGTGGCAGGGCGTACAGGAGTCAGAAAGTGGCTGGGCTGGGCCTGAGGGGCTGCACATGTTATTGGCAACGGTGGCATCCAAGAAGGGATGAAGGACGAAGTGACCAGGATTTGGTGAGGGACTGAGGATCAGGGTCCAGGAGAGGTAAGGACAAATCAGACACCCCTTCCTCGAGTTCTTGTCCTTGAAGGGAACGAGGCTTAAGGACTGCTGAGTCCCATTTAGAGGCTGAGGTTTGATGGGACCTCCTATTCTGCCATTTCCAGTTTCTGTAGTTAAGAGCTGGGGCTGGGGATAGAGCTCAGCTGGTCGAGTGCTTGTGTTGCACACACAAAGGCCCTGGGTTCCATCCCCAGCACCACCCCACTCAAAAAAAAAAAAAAAAAAAAAAGGAGTTAAGAGCTGTACCTCTGAGGTTTTTGTGACCTTTTGGGTTTTTTTTAACAGTTTTACTGAGATATTATTTACACACCACAAAATTCACCCCTTTGGGGGCTGGGGTGTAGCTCAGTGGTAGTACCTTGCTTAGCATTCGAAGGCTTTGGGTTCCGTCTCCAGCACCGCAAAATTTTTAAAAAAGCACAATTGGATGAATGTTTCAGTGTATTTATAGAATTGTACAACCACTGGCGCTATCTACTTTGAGAACATTTTCATCACCCTAAAAAGAAGCTTCCTGCCCATTTTCAGTCACTCAGTCTCTTAAATTGATTAATAATATTCCACTTCTAATGGCCCCATTTTACAGTTCAGGAAACTGAGGCTCAGAGGGGCAAAGGCACTTGACCACAATCCACGGCAAGGAGCCACATACGCTGGCGTCCAACACAGGCCAGCCTGGCTCCCCACACCTTAGGGGCATTGCAGGTGACATTTGGGGACCTCTTGAGAAGAGATTAGGGAAGGGAAGGTCATCACGTTCCCTCCCTGGGGAGCCAGGGGTCTTGGTGCTAATCCCCAGCTCATCGTGCAGTACACGTCCTGGTCATCGGGTTGGGATTCTGTTCCTCCGTATGGAATGGAGTCTGGCCTCTGTGTTGTGTGTATATTCAAGGGGGATGTTTCCTTTTGCTTTTCTCTTTTTTTAAAAATAGTTTTTAGTTGCCAATGGACCTCTCACTTGGTTTATTCCTATGCGGTGCTGAGGAGGGAATCCAGGGCCTCACTCATGCCAGGCAAGCGCTCTACCGCTCAGCCCCAGCCCCGGCCCCTGCCCTTGGTTTCATTTTTCTATTTGCCCATTTTTAACATGGGATCCACAGCTCCTTCTTCTCTTTCCCTTGAAATCTGGCCCTTGGAGCTGGGGATGGAGCTGAGTGAGGCCCTGGTTTTACCAGCACTGGGGGAAAAAAACCAACTGTTTTACAAATTGGGCTCCTGAAAAGCCTACCCCATCAGTTTGGCCTGCTCTACCTCATTCTTTCCACAAATATTGAGCAACTACTGTGTGCCAGGCAGAACAAAAGAACAAAGCAGACAAAAATCTCTGCCCCTGGGCTAGGGGTGCTTGGCATGCCCCCAGAGCCTGAGTTCTGTCCCCAACACACACACACACACACACACACACACACACACACACTCACACACTCACATCCCTTCCCTCCTTGGGCAAAAAGAGGAAATAGGGAAACAACCTAATTGAATAGAATAGATTGTCGTATATGTTTAGAAGATGGAGATGTGTTGCTGAGCGTGATGGTGCACTCCTGTGATCCCTGCAACTCAGGAGGCTGAGGCAGGAGGATTGGAAGTTCAAGGCCAGCCTCAACAACTTAGTGAGATCCTGTCTCAAAATAAATAATAAAAAGGACTGGGGGTGTAGCTCAGGAGTTCAATCCCCAATATGGGAAAGAAAAAGAAGGTGGTGTGCACCATGGAGCAAAAAGTCAGGCTGAGCGGAGGTTTCGTTCTGTGGTCTGGGATGGAACCAGGGCTCTAGCCCCAGCCGCACCCTCAGCTCACAGGAGCCCTGGTTAAAGTATGTCTAGTGGAGGGGCTTCTCCTGGGCATTATATTTGACCAGGCTGTGGGCACAGAGTTTGCAGTTCTTTTCAGATCCGGCTGCGCTGCATAAAGAATTTTTTGGTCCCTTTTACAAACACTTGGGCCTCTCAACAGCCTTCCCTGAAGCTCTTGCATTCCTGTCTGCTTACCTTGCGTCCTCTTTTGGGAAGTCAGGGGAGTGGCGAGATTCCAGGATAGGTGCCCGCTGGCCAGCTTCATGGGAAACTCCCCCACTGTTCCCACAGGGTTCCCGGAGCACATGGAGCTGTTACCCCTTCCCCCCTGGCAGCCGGTGGGTGAGAACCTCACCCTGAAATGCCATGTGTGGGGCGGGGCACCCCGGGCCCAGCTCACCCTGGTGCTGCTCCGTGGGGAGGAGGAACTGAGCCGGCAACCTGCCGTGGGGGAGCCAGCAGAGGGCACCGCCACGGTGCTGGCGGGCAGAGGTGACAATGGTGCCAATTTCACATGCCGAGCCGAACTGGACCTACGGCCCCAAGGACTAGGATTCTTCCAGAACACCTCGGCCCCCAGGCAGCTCCGGACTTTTGGTGAGGCCCCGGGGAAGGTGGACTCAGAGGGGAACAGCGTTCCTGCGTGGGTGCCGGGTTCCTGGGAAGGAGCCCCTGGCTGGGCCAGTATCGAGAAGGTGGTGGCCTAGGTTGTGGAAGCTTTTGGAAAGGACAGATGCTTACCTACAGGAGCGGGATGCCCTGGGGATGGGGTGCCTGTGGCCGCAGGATCTGGGGCATCTTTACTCCCACACCTGGAACGTTCTCTTCCTGGACTGTCTATGGCCTGAGTAAAGATGCCCCAGACGGCTGTGGGATGTCTCGGCCTCTCTGTTCACGCTCACCCTCTCTCCCCAGTCCTGCCGATGACTTCCCCACAGCTTGAGACGCCCAGGATCCTGGAGGTGGGCACATCGGAGAAAGTGGTCTGCTCCATGGGTGGGCTGTTTCCAGCTTCAGAGGCCCAGGTCCACCTGGCCCTGGGGGACCACAGGCTGAACACCACAGTCACCTACAACGAGGACTCCCTCTCAGCCACAGCTTGGGTGGAGGGGACTGCGGAGAACAAGGGGGACCATCTGCTGGTGTGTGCAATCATGCTGGGGAACCAGAGCCAGGAGTCCTGGAGGAACCTGACGGTCTACAGTAAGCAGGGCAGGGGTGAGGCTCTCAGGGGACGTGGCCTGCCGCGGGGCCGGGCTCACTGCTGTGTTCCGCCTCAGGTTTCCCAGCTCCCAACCTGACCCTGAGCGAGCAGGAGGTTTCAGAAGGGACCCAGGTGGAAGTGGCGTGTGAAGCCTCCGCTGGCCTCAGGGTGAGGCTGAGCGTCGCCCCAGCTGAGCCATGGGCCCCGAGCGTCCAATTCCTGCTGAACGCCACAGCTGAGGACAACGGTCGCCACTTCTCTTGCTCTGCTGCCTTGGAGGTGGCTGGGCACGTGCTGTACAAGAACCAGACCAAGGAGCTTCGGGTCCTGTGTGAGTGGAGGTCTTGCACAATGACCCCTGCCCTTGTGGCCCAGCCCAAAGGCCCCATCAACTCTTGCCCTCCAAGGCCTGTCCCCACCCCTGGTAGTCCTAGATGTGAGGGGTGTCCTTGTCCCCCTTTCGCTCATCCTGCTGTTTCCCTAGACGGGCCCCGACTGGACGAGAGTGACTGCCTGGGGAACTGGACGTGGCCAGAAGAGACCAACCAGAACCTGTCGTGCCAGGCATGGGGTAACCCCGTCCCTCGGCTGACCTGTCTTCGGGAAACGGATAGGGCTCCACTGCCCATTGGGGACCTGAGACCTGTCAAGAAGCAGTATGAGGGCACCTACCTCTGCAAGGCAGAGAGCCCTCGTGGAGCGGTCACCCGGAAGGTGTTCTTGACCGTGCTCAGTGAGTGTGCCAGTGTGCGGGGCTGGGCGCAGGTAGGAACAGAGATCCTAGCTTGATCCTCAGTCCCTTGTGTCCTTCCAGCAGCCAGGAAAAATGTGCTCATCATCGTTCTGTTGACGGCTGGGGCCATCCTGGGCGCTGTGGTCGTGGCCATTTGCCTCTATAACCGCCAACGGAAGATCAAGATCTACAAGCTCCTGAAGGCGCAGGAGGCCGCCGCCCTGAAGCTGAAAACACAGGCCACGCCCCCCTGAGCCCACCCCAAGACAGGGCCTCCTTCTGGCCGCCCCCTCATCTGCGTGGTGTTGCATGAAAGAGAATGGTGATCAGAAGCCATTTGGCTGCGTGCACCTCCTCAGGGTAACAGGATAGGACCGTGGCCTGAGGATGCAGACAACATTTGGTGTCGTGGCATCTGCACAAATAGGATCTCCAGGCCTCACACCTGACCCGCAGTCACAGTCTGAGCCAAAAGGAGACGCCAAGACCTGGACACATGTAGGATCTGACCAGGACAGTGGGGGAGTGGTGATCGTAGACCTTGTGGATCCCCAGCCTGGAAATACCGAGGTCCGCTCCCTACTGCCTATGCCGGGGCCCCACAGCCTGAAGGAAGAATAAACCCACAGCCCTAGGTAGCAGTGAAACAAAAAGGCCCATACATCCTCCAAGGCTCTGACACTGCTGTCCAGTTGTCCCCAACTCTTGATGATGATGTATTTATTAATTTGGTATTTTGCCAGCTATTTATTGCCTACCTTTTATGTAGTCTACAATGGTGAACAAGGTGAACACAGGTTCTCACTCTCATGGAATTCTCCGTCTAATTACATTCAGAGTCGCCAGGTAGAGTTGTCCTGGCTGGGCACTGCACAAGAGTGCCTGGTAAAAAGATCAAGTGGGGCTGGACTTTCATACTCCATTGGCCAAGCTGCTTTCTCCCAGAAAGGGTGCTTTTTCTGTCAAGCATTAAGGCACCGTAGGAGCTAGCAATGGTGACATGCTTGGCCACCACTCACTGAGACCTTACTATTTCCCCTTCTCGGCACTGGTGCTGTTAATCACCTCTCCACCCACATGTTTCTCAGCCTATGTTCTCAGTGATCCTCAGTGACTATGCCCCTCCTGTGCAGCGACACTATAAAGTCCCATGAAATTCTTCCCAACTGTGTACCCCACCTTATCTCACCTGTCTCTGCCTCAGTGGGACCATGAAGGAATAGAACCCCTTCATTGTAGCTCCGAAAACCCTTCAGCGTTCAGGACACTGGGGGCAGTGATGGGGGTCCAGTCCTGCAAGGCTTTGGACCCCCTCCCAGCTCAGGAAGCCTCTCCTTTATGCCAATAAAGTTTTTTCATCAGCCTCAGCGTCAGCCTCTGTGAGTAGAGAAAACCCTGTCACATCTGCTGGAAGAAACTCTATGTAGCCCAGCCACAGCTCCTATCCTCCCTCTTCCTCTCCCAAGAGAAGGTTGCCTGTTGGCTCAACTCTGAGGCTTTGTTCTAAATCTGGGAGTTTAAAAAAAATTATCTGGACCCCGTCCACAAAATTGAAATGACAACTGGTTGTCAATGGGGTCTGGAATCTCATTCCTGGGCCAAAAGGGATGGATATCTTCTGCAGGGCTCCTGGGTCCCCTGGGGATCTCGGGCCCCTCTCTGGGCGGGTCTAAGGAGGCGGGACTACGAATCTCCTATCTCCAGAGCCAGTGGTGGCTCTCTGGCGCCAGGCCCTTCAGCGCGGGCTTTCTGCCATGGGGTCTCTGCTCCTCCTGTCGCTGCTGCTTTTGCTGGTGACCGTGTATCCAGGAGATGGAGGCGTGCTGGGGCGCCAGGCTGAGCGTGTGCAAGGCACCAGCGGCAGCCCTCCCGCACCCTCGGGGACACCAGCGCCCTTCTGGGTACGCATTAGTCCGGAGTTGGTGGTGGTACCGCAGGGGGGCTCAGTGTGGCTTAACTGCAGCAATAGCTGCCCCCTGCCGGAAAGTTCCAGCGTCCGCACCCAGCTGCTGCTGGGCAAGACGCTCAGTGGGCCAGGTTGGGTATCTTACCAGCTGCTGAATGTGAGGGCTTGGAGCTCCGAAGTACACTGCTTCGTCACCTGCGCAGGAAAAACGCGAGAGGCCACCGCCAGGATCACCACCTACAGTGAGGGACAGGGGTACAGGTCCAGTTGGGGTGAGGGGAAGAAGGTGAAGGATGGGGTAGTTGAAAGTCGCAAGAGGGGGCGCCCGCGGACCTTACGGTGGGGCTCCCCTCTTGCTTTAGAGCGGCCTCGCAGCGTTATCCTGGAACCACCCATCTTGGTTGGCCAGGAGTACTTTCTGCGCTGCCACGTGACGCACGTTTTCCCAGTGGGCTCCTTGATGGTGATCCTGAGGCGCCGCGGCCAGATCATCTATTTCGAAACCTTGGAGCACTTCCAAGATTTGCATGTGGCCAATGTGACGCTGACCCATGTTTTGCGCGCTGGGCCCAGCAACCTATGGCAGCCGTTGACCTGCCACGCGCGCCTCAGTCTCCACGGTCTGGTGATACACAGCAGCTCAGCACCTATTATGCTAACAGCCTTAGGTGAGGCACCTGGGGACTTGGGGGAGGGAGGTTATGACTTCAGGATGGTGTGCAGACCTAATGACCACATGGTGGTCGCCAGACCTGTATGTGCTCCTTTTCTAATTCTCACCTCCTGCTCCCAGCTTGGAACCCCGCCTCCAAAGCCTTGGCCTCCACCTCCATCGCAGCCCTTGTGGGGATTCTTCTTGCCATGGGGGCTGCCTACCTGTGCAAGTGCCCAGCTAGGCAGCCCGGGCTTAGAAAGCTATTCTATGCCAACTAAGCCAAAGGAAAAAGAAGTCTGGAACAATTTAGTAAACCCAGCTTGGATCAATAAAGCTTCCTTGACCAGTCTCTGTCACACAGCCTAAGGGTCCTTAGAGGAAAGTGTCTCCTTTACTGGCCCTGCTTTCTCAAAATTCTTTGTCTTGCTTAGTTAGGCACTTGAGGTTTCTCCCTGAAGGCCTACTTGAGGTTCCAGGGCCCCAGTACCTCTGCATTCCCAACCGGTGTAGTAAAAAAACATCTGCTAGCATTATCAGTGAGGTGCAGATGGGCTAAATGGGGCCCTGGAGGGGCCTTGGGCTGGGGGAGGGCTGGTTCATTGTACAGCTTTTCCTCATTGGCTCCGTCGCTACCACGCAGCAGCTCTGATTGGATGTTAAGTTTCCTTTCCCACCCCCATCTCCACTTTACACAGTCGGCTTTCCAGGAGGCCAACATCGGAGGGGTCCTCATCTCCACAGCCCACTATGAGCGTTGAGGAACAGAAAATAAGTGGGCGGGGTCATATAGGGTCACGTATTGCGGGAAAGGGATACCCAAACTATCTATGTAGTGACAGCAAGAGAGAGGTCATCAGATGGTCCACGTAGGTTGTCAGAGCCTGGTGTCCTAGCAACGTCCTGGTAGTCACTGGGCCAGGTGGGCATATGGGAGGTGTCAAAGCTTGGGACCCAGATGCAGGGTCAAAAGCGTGACATTTGATTTCTCGGTCTCACGAAGATGCAGAATTTAGGCCCGCTCAGGGTACCTGGCGGAGCCGACACTGTCCAGGGCCCCGCCCGCCCCGAGGAAGGCGCATTCAGAAGCGCTCCTTGGGAAGCTTGCGCTCGCACAGGCGGGTAGACACATGCCCGCTGCACGCTGGGTAAATACAGACCCCGAGCCGAGCCGACTCTAATTTAGACGCCCGCGAACGCTGCGCGCACGCACACGTGTCTCCGACTCGCTGGCACTTTCGTCCCCGCCCCCTCGTCGCGTGCCGGAGCCGAGCGGGAGGACTAGAGGTGTGGTTGTCATCCTCAGCTCCGCGGGGTCAGAAGACGGTTCAGTGGAAGGAGGCATCCCCACACCGTCCTCTAGACCCGCCTTTTCCCCACACGGTGTTGCTCAAACCTCTCTTAAGCTCCAAATCAATCCCCGCCCCAAGGGGCGCTGGTAGGAGGAGCTAAACCTGCGGGCGGAGCTCAGAGCCCAGCTTGTTATCCTAGCATCTAAACCAGGGTGGGTGGAGGTTTGGGCAGGGCAACCCAGCATCCCCCCACCTCCGCGTCGCGGCCGAGGATGACGCGGGAGAGCGTGGTCGTCCCCAGAAGGCTCCAGGAGATCGGGCCGACCTCCATGTAAACCCGGGGGTCGCTCACTCCTGCCGGCTCGCCTTCGCCAAGGCCTGGAGCCCAGTGCACGCTCGCCTCCCGCCCCCCGCCGCCTCTGCCGCCGCCCCCTCCTTGGAAACCAAGTTACCAACGTTTAAACCAATCCCCGAGCGCAACTCTGCCTCCCCCACACTCCACCCGCCGCGCCGCGCCGTCCTCTAGCCGGGCTCGTCACTCGCGCTCCCCTCGCTTCCTTCGCTTCCCCCGCGGCGGCGATGCCAGGGCCTTCGCCAGGGCTGAGCCGAGCGCTACTCGGCCTCTGGGCTGCCCTGGGCCTGGGGATCCTTGGCCTCTCAGGTAAGAGCCCGCTGCTGCTCGGGGTGGACAGAACTGGGGCGGAGTTGCCAGACCTGAGCAGCGGCCTTACGCCCCTCCCAGCTCCGCCCTCTCCTCGCTCCCACGCTTCTGCTCCCCACCTTGAGCCCCTGTCTCCCTCCCCCCACCACGCACAGAGACCCAGCCTCGTGACTCCTGGCCCTCCTACTCCCTTCGAGATGGAGGGTGTTCTTTTGCACCCAACCCTGTGCCCTAGAGACCCTGTGGCTCTCCTGTCCCTTCCCCGGGTACCTCCTCGCTCTGTGTGGTGCACTGTGGACCATGGACTGGCGTCTTTCCCACTCACGATCAGCAAAGACCCTATCTCCTCAACTCATGACTCAGAGGCGCTGTTCCCGCTCCACTCGGAGCCCTGGCAACCGGGTCGTTCCCGCGGTTCCTTCCAAGCGTCCAGCCCCGCGTCCTCTTTCCATATTCTTTACCCAGGATTGGGGTCCTCCCGTATCCTTGACTCAGGCACAACTCAGCTTTGCCCTCACTCCAACCTCAGTCTCCTGGCGATCTGCCAGGACCTTGAGAACTCGTTCATTTCCCCCCATCCCCCACCTGGAGTCCCCTCCTCCCAGCGTTGCTGTGTGCATCGAAGACCCCATTTTCCCTCTCTTCCCTCCCACCATGTTTTCCCACCACTTCATTGGAGCCTTGGAGACCAGGGCTCACCGTTGCCATGTCCCAGAGACACCCTCAAGGTTTGGACTCTGGGAGCACACATCCAAACCTGAGGCCCGGGCAGGACGCGGGACTCCTGGGTTCTTTCCTGACTGTGGCCTCTGCTCGTCCCTCGGGGACCCCTGACTCAGTGTAGGGGCACTGAGGTCTCAGGCTGAGCCCGCGTTTCCCCGGGCAGCGGTCGCGCAGGAGCCCTTCTGGGCAGACCTGCAGCCCCGCGTTGCGCTTGTGGAGCGCGGGGGCTCGCTGTGGCTGAACTGCAGCACCAACTGCCCTCGGCCGGAGCGCGGTGGCCTGGAGACCTCGCTGCGTCGAAATGGGACCCAGAGGGGTTTGCGCTGGCTGGCGCGGCAACTAGTGGACATCCGCGAGCCAGAGACCCAGCCCGTCTGCTTCTTCCGCTGCGCGCGGCGCACACTACAGGCGCGTGGGCTCATTCGCACTTTCCGTGAGTTCTGTGTGGCCAAGCTCATACTCCACTACTTTCCTTCCCTTCCAAGGCCCCGCCCCAGGGTTCCGGGGTCCTCCCCTTTAGGCTCCACCCTCTAGATTCCCACGCTTTCCCTTCTGGGTCTTGCCTCCCTAAGCCCCAGCGTTTCCAATAGCAGCGATTCCCATTTTGCAGAGCGGCCAGATCGCGTAGAGCTGGTGCCGCTACCTGCCTGGCAGCCCGTGGGCGAGAACTTCACCCTGAGCTGTAGGGTCCCGGGCGCCGGTCCCCGCGGGAGCCTCACACTGACCCTGCTGCGCGGGGCTCAGGAGCTAATCCGCCGCAACTTTGCCGGCGAGCCACCCCGAGCGCGGGGCGCGGTGCTCACCGCCACGGTACTGGCGCGGAGAGAGGACCATGGAGCTAATTTCTCGTGCCGCGCGGAGCTGGACCTTCGGCCGCATGGCCTGGGACTGTTTGAAAACAGCTCCGCCCCCAGAGAGCTCCGAACCTTCGGTGAGTGGGTGTGGGGTCCCCAAGTTGGGGCGGGCTGATTTTTAAGTTTAGAGACATATGCATCTGAATGCTACTCCTTACTTCAAAGCTCACCTGCTGAGTTATTTTCGTCTATGCCTTAAGACTGATAATATAAGATAGTGAATGTGAAATGCTTAGTACATATCGACTGCTCAGTACATAAATTTAAGCCCTATTCTTCGACCCTAGCCTTGTCTCCAGACTCCCCGCGCCTCATTGCTCCCCGGCTCCTAGAAGTGGGCTCAGAAAAGCCGGTGAGCTGCTCTTTGGACGGACTGTTTCCAGCCCCGGAGGCTGGGGTTTACCTCGAATTGGGAGATCAGAGACTGAATCCTTATGTCACACTCGAGGGGGACGCCCTCATGGCCACTGCTACAGTCACCGCAAGCGCAGAGCAGGAGGGTGCCAGGCAGCTGGTCTGCACCGTGACCTTGGGGGGCGAAAGCCGAGAGACCCGGGAGAACCTAACGATCTACAGTAAGGAGCTGCGCACCCAGATTTCCGCGACCTAGGGGTGGGGCCAAAACCACTCAAAGGCGGGGCGATGAGTGGGCGGGATCTCAGGACCTGAACAGGCATGGCCAGAGAATTTTTAAAGGACCGACAGATAGAGGTTGGGAAGTTAGCTGCAACCCGGGAAACGCTCCGGGAGATAAGGGGCGGGCTTTGACCCGTAGGAGGGGCGTGGTCAGCGGACTCCCGGCAATGCTCGGTCCCCAGGCTTCCCCGCGCCCCTCCTGAACCTGAGCGAACCCAACGCCCCTGAGGGGAAGATGGTGACAGTAACCTGCACAGCCGGGGCTCGGACCCTGGTCACACTGGAGGGAATTCCAGCTGCTGTTCTGGGGCAGCCCGCCCAACTCCAGCTAAACGTCACTGAGAATGATGACAGGCGCGGCTTCTTCTGCGAAGCCATCCTCGAGGTGGATGGGGAGATCTTGAGCAAGAACGCGAGCGCGGAGCTTCGCGTCCTGTGTGAGTTAATGTTCACCCATCGCCCAGCTCCTAGTGACCTCCAATCACCTGCTCACTCTCCGATCGCGATCGCCTAGTGGAAGCGGGGGTCATTAATCGCAAGCCACTTTTAGCCTCTTGTATCCTACGCCCCTGTCCCACAGATGGTCCCCGGCTGGACGACTCTGATTGTCCCAGAAGCTGGACGTGGCCAGAGGGCCCAGAGCAGACATTGCGCTGCGAGGCCCGAGGAAACCCAGCGCCCTCAGTGCATTGCGCGAGGCCCGACGGCGGGGCGGTGCTGGCGCTTGGCCTACTGGGTCCGGTCACTCGCGCACTCGCGGGCACTTACCGCTGCACAGCGGTCAATGTACAGGGCGAGGCGGTCAAGGACGTGACACTAACAGTAGAATGTGAGTAGTGGGGTACCCAGGGCGCATCTCTTTCTGGTTCTCAGGGCCTAAGCGGGGCTGACCTACAGCGAAGTATAAGAATAGGGTTTGAAGTGTGTCTCTGAGCAAGATTTGGGAAAAGGGAAAAGGCTGGTAAGGAAGCGGCATCAGGGACCAATCTTGGAAAAGGATGGGGGCGTGGGTGTGTGGGTGTACTCTGGCAAAAATGGGCGGTCTGAGTGGCCAAAAATTTTAGGCTGAAGTCTGGAGAGGGCCTGTGAGTTCATTGTGGGAATTAGAAAAATGTCCCTACTCAGGGCTCATGGAGCC